TTTTCTAATAATTGTCTTATTAACAAAAATATCTTGATTTTACTGATGAGTTATATTGTTGATAAGTACTGGTTGAAACATATATATGATAAATTATATTAGTTTTCAAAAGTACATTAACTATTTAATTCTATGTTGATATAATTTTTTTATACAACGATTCATGTATGGAGGAAATAATGATAAATTTAGACAACAAAAATTGATGATTGAATAGTGTTTAAAAGAGAAAATTTTGAAATTGTTTTCTTGCTCCATACATGCTTGATTCCACTCAGGAGGACTGAGTTCAAAATGCTGGACGCTAACGATAGTCCCGTTAGTCCTTGGTACATTATGGTACACCTAGTTAGCAGCATGCTTGTAGGAGGTGCTAGCCCCATGTAAAGGCTAACACATGAATCGGAGCAATGGTAATTCATAAGCATTGTACTCACTCTTGTTTTCATGGGCCTCATACTTGCATTTGATTCGTAGGTCCTGCTGTGCTTGTTTTGTGGTTTCCAACAGCGCTTGACTAGTTATATATTATCGGGGACTATGTATCCATGTTTGATTAGTTATTTACCTTCGTGGACTATGTGTTCACACTTGTATTTCGTTCTGACAAAGCCCTCCTAGATTTAAATTAAAATTTATTATTTTATTTTTTTATTATTAGTTCTCTAAAGGCATTCTACCTTGTTATACCATTACTTAAAATTTTTAAAATCCATGAGTAATACAAATTTGATATACTTTTAGTTTTCTATTAGCATTCACTAGTATAAAATACAATTTTAACGATACTATTTTCCCCCACAGTTATAGAAGTAAATGTAGTTTATAACACAAAGAGTAATTCTAAAATATAAATGCAAACTTATAATGACAGGTCCCAATAAAACCTGTCGTAGTTAGTAAATATTAAGTATTAATATTATTATTATTCATATTATTAATATAAATAAATTAATATAAATAATAATAACTAAAACTAATATTAGTAACTTAAATATATATTACTAATGAAGCTGGTAAATAACGACAAGTAATTAATCGGCTGTCGGTAATGTTAATTCCATTTCCAAAACCAACATTAATTATAATAATTATTAATATATTATTAGATATATTAACAACAGGTTCACTAGGAGCTGTGGTTAATGTTATCCTCAGCTAATGGTTAATATTAGTATAAATAATAAATATATTATTAATTAATTGTAATTATTAATAATTAATTATTAATTATGTCATATTATATTATAAATAAATATAACATGTAACGAATATTGATTCATTCCTCTTTATTCCCTCAACTAATATTAATATAAATATAATTATATTATTAATTATAGGATACTTATTAATAAACGCAGGTCAAAACACATTAACGACAGCTCTTATGGGAGCTGTCGTTAATGCCTAAGCTCCATCCCTTTTTTAACTTCAGCTCTAGCCTCCTTCACTCGATATTGATAATAATATTTTTTTTTTGGTCAAATCCTCAACTCATATTAACGTTAATATGAATAATAAGTATAATATTAATCAATATTATATTGGTATATTATATTATTAATAAATATATTATTAATAATATTAATAATATTTAATATTAATATTAACATTAAATAAATATTATAATAATTAAGTAGTATTATATTATATTATTAAATATTATCATTATTTAAAGCATCTAACAACAGGTCCCCTAGGACCTGTCATGATATGTGTAGCATGCTTTCTGATGTGTTTTAATTTTTTTTTTGTCAAATCACAGCTAATATTAATGCTAATATAAATAATAAATATATTATTGATTAATATTATATTATCAGTTATAGGATATTATATTATTCATAAATATACTTATTATTATTAATATTATTACTATTAATATTAATATTGACATTAAATACAAATTATAATAATTAATTAATAATATATTATGTTATTAAATAGTATATCATTATTTAAATGAATAACTTATGTTTATATTGATATTTCCTGTACATTTTTTGAGGTATTTTATTTTTTTGGTCAACTCCACAAATATTAATGTTCATATAAATAATAAGTATATTATTAATTTATATAATATTATTGATTATGGTATATTATATTATTACTATTAATATTAATATTAACATTAAATAAATATCATAATAATTAATTAATATTATATTATATTATTATTTAAATGCATACTATAGGACCTGTCATTATAGTTATATTTTAAATTCAATTTTTACCCCCTTTACCTTTAGTTCTTGCACCTCCCTCACTTGTCTTTCAACTTGCACTTTCAGCCTTCAGCTCTCCCTCTGTCTTCAACTGCTTCATCTCTACTCTTAGCTCTTAGTGCCTCGTTGCTCATCAGCTTCCCATAGCTCATCCACCTTTAGCTGCTCCTCCCCCTTCGCCTTCAGCTCCTTCTCCTCCCCTTGCCTTTCAACTCCTTCCTCTCTGCCCTTCAGTTCCTTCTACTCTGCCCTTCAGCTTATTGTCTTTGTCATTAGCTCGCCATCATCTCGCCCTAAGCTCTCATTGCAATTGTTCAGCCTCTAGCTCGTCTCTGTGCATCCATCCAAGTATTTTTTTTATTTTTATTCTTAATTTTTTAAGTTTCCTCCTTATACATGTTTAGCTCTCTCTCTGTTATTATATTTTTTTTTATGAGATTAATTATTTATTTTTAATATAAATTGGGATAAAAATTTTGGGCATAATTTTTAACACCCATTATGATAAAGTTCATATTTTAATCAGGTAATTATTTGATTGCCTGAAATGGTTGTAGATTTTGTTTATAATTACTGATTATCTATTGAGATTGGTTGAAATTCTTGTTATGGCTGTTGATTTTTTTAAAATTTTATAATATAAAGTAGCTGTTCATATTTTAATTTAGTAATTATTTGATAGCTTGAATGTGTAAAAAAGCTTGATTATTTTTGAGATTTGTTGAAATTGGTCATGTGTATTTTTATTTCTAATTTAATATTTTTGTTATTATTAAAGGTACCCTCCACAAAGTGTGCACCCAACTTAATGTCAATCATTATTATGGATTCTTATCCATACTCTTAACTTTAGCTGGCACACTAAATCAAAAAGTGTCTTATATTGGAAGAACATAGGTTAAAGAAAATGTGTTTTTTTTGCACCTATTGTTTAAAGGTTTTAAATTTCTAATTCATATCTCAATTTATAGAAAATTTTGCTTAATGATGTGATATTAATATAAACATATATTGTAGCAATCATTGGAAGTATAAGCAAAGATATGAAGTCATTGATTGAATTGTAAGTTTTTTTAATAACTCTTTTTGTGATATTATTAGAAATTTTTAATATTTTCTAAGTGTGTATATTTGATAAATAGATCTTTACTTCATTATTGGAAGTTAGCAGATATAGTTAATGAGAAAAAAATTGAAGTCAAGTGGCGAGTATGTATGTAAGTAAGTATTTCAAATTTATTTCCTAATTAGAATAAATATTATACTATTACTTTATTTTCTTACTAGTGGTCTCGACAATCAGGAAGTGTAGGATATGGTTATTACATAATCATCACTCAATATATTATCCACTCATTTGATAAGATAATAATTGGATTAAGTTGCATTTTATCTTTGAACTTTTCTCGAGGAGCAATTTTACCCCTATACTTATAAGTGGGACATAAATAGAATATTTGGTCGATGCTGTCTAGAAATGATAAGATTAGAGAAGATAATTAGATAAATATTTGTAATAAATATGTAGAAATTCAATTGATATGTTTGTACTAGTCTCTAGAGCTGGTGTTTATGTTTAGATGCAGGTGTTTGTAAGTAAGGGGTGTATAGCATATCATATCTATTTTTTATTGTAAAAAAAAATCACATACCGCGACAGTTATGCACAAAACTATTGCAAAAAGATATACTTATAGCGACAATTTTAACTAAAACTATGGCAATAAGTAAATACTTACAACGATAGGTAATAGTGGAACTGTTATTGTAAGTGATACTTTTCGTGACAGTTATTCCTTTGAATTGTTGCAAAAAGTAATTACTTATAATGACAGTTCATTGATTCACTGTCGTGAAAAGTAATTACTTACCACTACATTGACTTCCACTTTACCGCTTCTTGTGTCGCGAAAATAGCTTTCCAACTGTTGCGAAAATAGCTTTCCAATTGTTGCGAAAAATACTTTTTGCACTAGTGATTATTAAATTTCACACATTTTTTTATTGAGAAAACTTGTTATTTATTTACAATTAAGTATAATAAATTAATTTTATTAGTTACAATCTTCATAAATTCTTTTTATTTTATTTATAATTTTGATTAGAACGCTACTTATCAAAAATTTCTTTGGTCTAAGATATTGTAGCTGACCCTACAGTAGATCATTGATGGGACCTATTGTTTTTTTGGAAGAGGAAGCGCACTATGAATATCCCTTTTTGGTGAAACTATGTATTGTATTATATAACTTTAATTTAGCGCTCAACGTATATCATTATTAGATCCTAGTAGTATTTGCTAGTATGAAATCCGCTGATGTTGAGCTAGTCTTCTTTACTGGATTGGTTGTCAGGTTTACTATTGTAGAAATTTTGAAAAGTTTAAATTATGAGAGATTCTACCGAAATTTCTACAAAATATTTAAAATTTTATGAGCTTTATTATTATATATGTAATGACCCTAAATTTTAAATTGACCAAATTTGTTTTCTCCCAATAAATATATTATTTAAATAAAGTTTATAATAAGTAGAAAGGGATAGTTTATAGGAATTTATACTAGAAATTTTCTTAAGGATTAAGAGTCTAAATTTTTCTGAGGAAAAATCTAGTTTTAAATTATAGAAAAATTTTGTGCTTTCTGGTAAATTTTGTGTGCCTTTTGTTGTGATTTTTCCGGGCTCCTTCTTGTAACTTTCCCAAAATTTTCTCATATCAGATGCACTTGTTCTCGCGAATGAAAAAAAAAAAACGGAGCATCCCATTTTCATTTCCTCACTGCCATTCTACACTTCTCTAGACCCTCATAGTCGGTTCATCTCTCTAACTCTTATCAACTTCCTTAGCTCGCCATTGACTGGGTGTTCCTGTCGTTGCTGTTGCTTCATTTGCTGCCATTCTTCTCGTTCGTGTACGCCAGCCATAGTGGAGTTAGGTTGCTGATTCTCTTTCCCTGTCATCGTGCTGTTCTGTGTCAGCGAGAGGTGAGTAGTACTCTACTTTTCTTGCCACCGAGAGTTGCTGAAATTTCTGTCGCTACTTCACGTTTTCCTGTCGTTCTCCTCATGAAATTTCTGCCGCTGCTTCACGTTTTCCTGTCGTTCTCCTCTGTTCTGTGTCTGCGTGTGCGTGGGTGTGTTTGTTCTTCATTTTCCTTCCTTTTCAGCTGCTGGCTGTTTGCTTCCAGGTGTGTGGTAAGCTCATCTTCACTTCTTGTTTTGTTGTTGTTGACTGTGTAAGTTCAAACCCTCATGCTCCCTTAATTTTTGATCAGTCCACCTCCTCCCTTCGATTGTCATTGAATTTGAGTTGGCATCATTGTGATTGTGGCTGCCGTGAAGAACCTTCTGAATTTAACCACTTGTTTCCACTCTTCTTTGTCCTACGGTATGCCAATATATATATATATATATATATAATTTTGGGTGATGTTGTTTGAGTGAGTGTTTGCTTACATGTTCAAGTTAGGATGGTTTATTAGAACTTGCCACTAAATGGAATTTGGTTTGGAAGTTGAATTGGATTGGATTGTGCTCTTGGCAAATTAAAAATTTGGAGGAAAAAAACAGAAAAAGAACAAGAAAAAGGAGGAAAGAAGAGATTGTTGATAGAGGGCTAAGGAAATATTTATTTATGAGTCAATTAGGATGCCTATAAAGTATTTGTTGAAAAGCCTAAAAGTATAATTTGGTTGAATTAAAATAGTTAATTTGTAAATAGAATTTTAGTTATGTATGTATGTGATCGTTTGTGTTCATAGGTAATGTGATGCTAAGCTTGAGATGTTTAAGAGAGGAGATTGCAAAATGCAAGTTGTTTAATTTACATACTACTAGTTTTTGAAGGAATATGTGTAAGTAGTGATTTAATTGTTAAATTGGGATCCTAAAGTATCTAGAGTAGATTGTGTTAAATTAAATGATAGTTGTGGCACTTTATTAATCTTTAAGAAGGTACAAAAGGCATGGAAATGTTTTCTCTTGCTTTAGTTGAATTTTTGATAAACTACTAAATCAGTAATGAATTTATTATTAATATTTTAGGGTGTGATGTTTATTTTAGATTGAATTTGAATGTCACCAAGTACTTAGAAATTCCTTGATAAGTTATTTTAGATTTATGATTTATTTATTAGGAATTTGATGGAATCATTCAAGATATAATTGAGAAGTTGAAGAGGAGTAAGCTTTAGAAATTATTGAAAAATTTTCAGGTGAGTGAGTAGTGTCCCAAATAATTTCTTACAAAGTGTTTATAGAATTTCTTTATTTAAATTTTAAATTTTGATATTATTCTTTATAAGTTGTATAAACATTCTTGTAAATTCTATTTTTTGATTTATGTTATGAATAAGAATTGATTGAATTTGATATAGAATAAATGGTCCAAATTTTAAAAGTAAATTAATTATTTAACTCTATGTTGATATGAAAACTTTTACTACAATAGTTCGTGCAAGGAGGAAATGAAAATGAGTTTAGAAATGGAAGATAGTAGTTAAACTATATATTTTGAAAATGAAATTATTGAGTTATTTTTTACCAACTTCTTGCATGCTTGATAATTTTACTAGAGGGACTGAATTTAGAATGCTAGATACTAACGGCAATTTCGTTAGCTCTTGGCGCACCATGGTGCACCTAACTAGCAGGGTGTTTGTAGGAGGTGCTAGCCCCGTGCACAGGCCAACGTACGTGAAACGGAGTTATGGATATTCGTGAGTATCGTATTCATGCTTATTTTGGGGGCTTCATGCCTGTGCTTGTTTCGCGGCTTCTAGTCGCGTTTGATTATTTCATGACTTCTAGTCATGCTTATTGGTGATTTACTCTCGTGGATTGTGTGTCAATACTTGTTGATTACTTACCCTTATGGACTGTGTGTCCACGCTTGTTAATCGTTTTGATTAAGTCTCGCTAAAATGTGAAATTTTGAGAATTATTATTTTAAATTTATTCTAATAAATAAATTATTGTTTAATTATATATGATTTTATACGGTAAATTTCCTCCTAGATTGGATTTTAAAAAATATTGTTTTATATTGGTTATTTATAAATTTTTCCTTGATTATATCATCATTTGAATTCTTTTTTGTATATTTTTATTTTATTGTATGATTCTTGATAACCTATCAAAATTTCAAAGTTATTGGTTTATTCCACGATTATGCTATTGAGTAACTTTGTCATTTATTGGTTGTTTATATGATTTAATATTCCATTGATTTATTTTAAACTAAATTATATTAATTACTAACTTTTACGTGTTTTATCTATAATTTTGATTGAGATGCTACTCACCAAAAATTTCTTGGTATTAGATAAAATAATTGACCCTGCACCTCTTGTTGATCATTGAAGGGCTTTATTGCTTTTGGATGATGGAAGCACGCTTCAATTATATATTTTAATGTAAATATTTATTATTTTATACAATGATAGTTAGTGCTCCACATATGCTGTAATTAGGTCTTAGTTTTATTTTGTTGATATGTAATCTGTTGCTATGGAGCTAATCTCCTTTACTGGATTGATTGGCCTGGTTTTGCTATTCTAGGAATTTTGGGAGGTCCAAATTAGAGAGGAGGCTCTGTCAAAACTTTTACAAACACTCGAGACTTTACGAACCTTATAAACACACATAAAAATTATATATGGATAATTTGGCTTAATTTTTGGTTAATTAAGACTTATGGAATGTGCGGTTATCTCATATTCCGTGCCAGTCATACCCTTAAAACCGAGGTGTGACAATATATAACTTATATATCGATATTTTAATTTAACCTTTGACTAATCAAGGCTTATGGAATATGAGTTTACCTTATATTTCATGCCAGTCATACCTATAGTATTAGGGTGTGACAATTTTCTTTGAGATTGAGTCCATGGAGATGGTTTGAGCCGGACCTCCAAGATTAGAGTTGGCATCACTTATTTTGAAAATCTCAATTCCGTTCAATATCACATCCATGTAGACGCTTATTTGCCAATCATCGTATGGCTGCAACTTAATGGAAAGATTAAAAGTTTCTTCGGCTCTTGGTCTTTGCTGCCCATCCAAACTGCGTAATCCTTATAGTAAGGAGTTAGAATATCTTCAGCCCACTCCACCACATCAGCGCAAAGCTCAGCCATAATTGGTCAGCAATGAAGATCTGGAAAACTCGTTCCCTAGATTTTTCAAATTTCAAGTCGATCTCACAACAATGGAGCCTCACCATGTAATAGAACTGTGAGTCGAATTCAAACTCCCAAGTCAGGTTATACGTTACCGATCTCTCGTTAACACCATAGCTACGGGCCAGTCAGATATACTTCATCTGGTGCAGTGTAGTTTGAAATTTTTATATATCTCAGATTTTGATGACCGCCGAAATAAACAGGAAGACTCTCTTTATCTGGACGAGCTTGTGTCAAGTATTCATTTTGTCTTAATCAGGAGGGATTTGATTCCCACCAACATTGATTCTGTACATCGTCTCTAGTGCCATGGTTCTTTCCATGCGGTAAGAGGTATCGCGACCAACAAAAGGCAAACCAGGGTGATCACTTGATTTAATGTAATAAAGATCAGTGGGCACAGAAACAACCTCGATCCCGTTAATAAAAGCATAGGCGCCGTGACTCGTGATGGTGATGGGTATGAAGGTAACATTCAACCTCAAATTTCCAGGTGGGACGTTGATACAGTGTTCTCGGGTTATGAATCCGGATTCGTCGTCGTCGGTGAGTGAAGCGTTGAAGTCTTTGGGGAAGAATAGCAATCAAAGTCGGCGTAGCATGAAGATAGATAAAAATAAAGACGAACAAACTTGGGGCCATCAGTGGGCATTAGAAACGAGTATGTGAAATCAGAGCGAGAAAGACGTGCAATGATATAAAGATCCTTTATGAGTGAAGGACGGAAATCGAGTGAAGATACGTTGGCCTGAACTGATGAAAATGGAGGATTTTCAAAGATTTTAAGCTGTTGAGAGTTGGCATCAGGGCTCCATGTCCGGTTAGCAAGTTGAACGGAGGTGGAGGAGCCACAGTTAACTGAGATGTTATCAATGGCCTCGTAGGTGTAGGAGGAGCTACCACCGTCGACAATGAATTTGCCATGAAGGAATAATATTATCATCAGCAAAATAGTGGTTGTGATATCCATCTTGAGCTGGCTATGGCTCCTTTGAGATTCATGATCTTCTTTTAAATCACTTTTTAACAGTGCATAAGAATCGTTTACTGTTCATATAATCGTTAAAAAATATATTTGGTCATATTTTATTTTAAATTTGGATGATAAAAAGATTGGAGTTATATATATTTACAAAAGGATATTTTAATTTTTAATTATGGGACTCTGGCCTTTTCTATCTGATTGGATTCCTTGTGTATCTCAAATCCTCTCGTCAATTAAGTGTCCAAGCCACACCTAAGCATAGAATTTCATTAACATTTGAAAATTCATATTTATCAGAAATAATGAATTAAAGGGCAATTTCATGAAATTTCAACCATTTCCGTGCTGAATAATTGGATTAAGGTATAGGGTATAGCTAAAAGTAAAGTTGTGAATTTTGTTCCCTCTATATCTTTTGCTGATGTCTTTGGCAACTATTCAATTGAATCAATGATCTACCACAAAAGACACTAACTGGATGAGGGAATTTGGGGCACTCACTGAATCAAGACCCCCCCTTTATGTCATGTAAGTCCTATTTTAGTTTGAACATGCCTTAGAATCTAAACTCATTAAAATTTTTAAACAAAAAAGGATTAATATAATTTTAATTAGCACTAACAAATCGTAGATAAAAAATTATTTTATTTTTAATTTTAAAATTTATTTGAAACATAGATGAACACCTTTTTCCAAGTCTTTATCTCATGGGATGAGTGGGTTCATCGCAGTGAGATGACATGAAAAGTCTAAGGGTGTAAAAGTCTTTGAACAGATTTTCAATAAAAATATTAGCATTATCAGATATTAAAAATCCAACTGCCTATTCAATAGGCAAGACAATAAATCAAGGATCAATATGGTCCGATTGTAGTTAAAACATGGTTCAACTAGTCTAAATTAAATAAACATATGAATCATCTTAAATAGAACGGTAAAAAAATAATATAACTATAATAGCATAAAAATATTATTTCAAGAAAGAAACAGAAACAACAAGAAGAAAAATAAAAATAGAGAACACTACAGCTGCAGCAAGATCTCTGGTTAAATATTTGATACATGACCAGTTAAACCAGTTAAGCTATCAGTTTCACCGATTTTGACTGGTTAAACATTTTATGCATAATTCTCTGGAGGGTCCGTCTTCTCGGCAACAGCCAGAAAAACTCTGGGCTATCTAGATTTAGATTTTTTTAATTTTAATTTTATATTTATCAAAATAAAAATTTATAATTTTTTTATAAATATGTTCATCATCAATTTGGATAGTACTGATCTAATTTGAATGGTCCAATTTAACATCATTATATTTTTAAATTGACTAATCACATGTACTCTAGACACTCTAAATTCAATATTAAATTTTTATCTTAAGATCCAAATTTAAAGTTTTTATTTTTTATTTTGATAAATACAATGTTAAAAAAATAAAATATATAATCTTTTAACTAGAACTTTTTTAAAAATATTTTAAAAAAATTACAAGTTAAAAATTTTAAATCTGAAAAGTCAATATATAAAAAAATATAAAAATTTTAATATTAAATCGGATCCCCAACACCAAATAAAGACCAGATTAGACATTAAATCTTTTTTATAATTTTCATAAATTTTTATTTTAAAAAATTTAAAATAAAAATATTAAATTAATCCTTTAAATTTAGGGCAGATTGCATTACCTGGTGGTCCCCATCAGGGTGATGGCACCAAAGATAGATCCGTTCTGTGATTTGGCTACTATCCCATATTCCACTAGTAACTAGTTAAGTGGTCGAATTTGTCGGATTAATCTGATTTTTAACATCTAGTGGGATGAAAAGGACACTAGGCAAGAAACTAGGAATTATTGGATGCTTTTGGATATATAAATCCAAGCATATAGTTCCAAAGGCATGGCCTACTCTTTTTTGTCTTTGTCAGCTCAACTTGCCACTTGCATATAATCTTTAAAACTAAATTATAAGTTTCAGCCAAGGGCCGCGTAGCTCAATTGGCTCCCCCACACTCCTCTCAAGGGGGAAGGTTATGGGATCAATTTTCAAGATGGGGGAAAGTGTGTGTGTGTGTGGGTCATCCTTCCCCAAAGGTTAGGGTAAAATATATATATATATATATATAAAAGTTTAAGAAGTTTAATTTAATTGTAAATATGCTGTAAATGTAAAAATTTTGAAATTTTTAGAAATTGAATTGTACTACTATGATCTTTTGATTGGTTTCAAATAGCTAGGTTGTAAATTTAAACTTAAAACCTCCTTTTTCAATTGTAAATTTTAGGTTAAAATATATAAAATTTTCTTAAATTTTAAGACAGTTACATAGAACCTGTTTCACCTTTTAAAGTTTAAAATTAACATCACTAACTTTTTATTTTCGTATCACTTACTTGATAAATAACAATTATATATATTTTTTATTCTTTTAATTTAGAATTTTAAATATTTATTTAAAACTAATTGAGTTTAATTAGATATTATTTGATTTTATTAGGTAATCCTCGATTTTGAGATTTTAACTAACTAAATCCTAAATTTTAAAATATAAATAATATCTTTAATTTTTTTATACAGTTGCTATTTAATTTAATTTTATTTGTGCAGTTTTTCTGAATTTAATTTAAAAGATATTGATGGATACTGTTTTGAATAGAAGAATATATGAATGATTGAAGATCAAGTCAAAAATCAAATCTCAAAAACTTTATTTATATTATTTTGGGTCTTTTAATATTGTCTTTGATTAGGGTTATCAAGGGTCGTCTTGTCATTTTATTAAATTATTAGGTTTTTCTTTAATGTTGAGATGTACATGGTGACGTCACGCACAAAATTATATTAAATTGAATAAAAAGGTAAGGAACAGGAGGCGACGCACATCACTTTCATTGAGATAGGGAGGAATAAGAGCTGAATCTAAAGAGTCAGGCCTAGAGGCCCTATTTGAATAAAAGTTTAGATTTTAGAAATCAATTTTTTTTTAAAGTAACCAAGCTTGAGGGCCTGACTATGATAAGCCCTGTGAAAAAGAGGCTCGGGTCCGGGTAGCCCTTCAAGCTCTGATAAGCTGCTTATCTTATATATATGTGCATACATACATACATACATATATTTGACTAATAATGATACAATTTGGTTAATATTTATTGTAAGTGATGAAGAAGAAGTTGTAAAGATAATTGACATTAAATCTCTACCTTAATCTTTAACAAGTGGACGTACATTTGAAGGATCTAATTTTTTTTTTAGATGATGATGAGGAGGATTTAGAATTACATTGATAAATATTTTAATCTTCATTTTAAATTTTAAATTTTAGATCTTTGTCAAATTTTACATTAAATTTTATGTGAGATTTTAATCTATTTTATGTTAAATTTTAGAATATTATATTTTTTAAGCCCTATAAATAAGGGCCGGGCCTCAGAATTAGGTCAAATTTTGGGTCACGGGGCTTTATGGCCTGAGCCCTTAAGGGCCGGCCCTTAATTCCCACCTCTAGGTGGAGCAGAGGCGGACGGGGCGATCGCCCTTCATTTTTCCTTTTCTTCAATTTCTTGGGCAATGGCTTCTTAATTTCTCATGCCTGCTGTTTGATTTTTAGTTCTATAGGAAACTAATTTCTTGGGTAATTAATGACAAATCATTACCTTATGTTGTAATCAGAGTCTTTGATATTCAAGGAAGAATTTATTTTAACTTTATTTCAATT